AATCTTATCTTGCTCTTTTGAATAAGAAATCCAAGCCATTTTTTTTGCAAATTTGCTTGTCTAGGCATTGCCTTTACGTTTTTTAGTATTTTTACAAGCTTTTCAGATTTATACTAAATTCTGCAAAAGTTTGTATGAAGTAGTATTTCGGCTATGTTAGGTTAAAAAATATTTTGGGTATTTGCTATTCTGTCTGTTTGTACTATAAAATGTTTACCATGAAAGATTCTCGCCTACATAGCCTACCTCATTATCGACAAATGAGTTTTTTAGTTTTTTAGTTTACAATTCATTCAAGAGGATTTATAGTTAACAACAATTCCAAAATTCTCAATAATGATTGAAACGTCATTATTTTTTACTCTCCGTTTTTTTCTAACAATGCTTTTTGAAAAAATTTAATAGTAAGAAGCAGTTAATCAGTTTAAATGAAGAATGGAAATACTGAGAATACTTTGAAATGAGGAGGAATAAAACGAATGATCATACTTCACTCAGTTTTAGAATACCCGAAGCGATAAATAAAGACAGGCAAAAGATGAAGCACTCTTCACAAGGTCCAAATAAAAATTTAACTTTTAATGCGGGAACAGTAGCAAAATGGACTATTTTGATGGTGAACTTAGCCACTGTTGTTAGTGACGTCCAATTTGGGATTAACATGCCAAGTTATCTGTACTACAAAAGTTGCAAACTGTGTTTATAATTCAGGCAAAACAAAGATTAAAGCAGATAACAGGTACAAACTGAGTGCTCTTACCCTTCCTCAGCTCAGTTACAGTAACAGAATTGCAGAAATTTCTAGATAATAAAAATTCATGCTTTCAAAGAGCAGTATTTGTACATACAAAGGGTTTTCTCCCATAGATTTGGAATAAGCTCACATTCGTTATTTTGTTGATTTCAAAACTAACCAGCACCTGCCTCAAGCATTGGCTTTAAGATTCTCGGAAGACAGCGATTCGCCAGACTGGACATGAAGTTGTTACCAAAGTATGAGATAAAAAACTGAATTTAACCAACATTTAGCCAACAGCATTTTTCCCTTTTTTAATTATACGAAAAATTTTGGGTTGTTAATGCCTTAAAAACTATTTATAAAACAGTTGTATCTAAAAATTTACCTGTAACAGACTACCAGTTACTGAATGCTTGCTTTATCCCACACTGGTAAAATATGTTTCATTCAAAATCATTTAGTGTGTTTCAGGCTCTTATATTTGATTTTCCCTTCCAATTCTATTTTTTAGCTTGCTGTTTCTAAAAGTAAAATGTTGCCTAAGAAAATGAAAGTTTCGGAGAAGTGCTATGGTAAAGGAGCAAGAAAAGTTTGAGTTACCCATAACGCAGCCTTGAAAAGTCGATGTTTTGAGTATCGGTGATTATCAGTTTTTACCTCCCGTCTGCAAAGCTTTGATTTATGCAAAGCCTTGCATAAAATCTGTTTTTTGGAATTCAAGAAACTGATATCAGATAAAAGTGGGCAAAAAAAAAGAATTGTAACAAAAACAAGGGAAATTGCACCTGATGCAAGTTTTTTTTTTTTTTTTTTTTTTTTTTTT